TTGTCAACTTCATTGCACCTGCAGCTACTGATATGTTGATGAATAACAGTGTGACTGAATTCATTCTGGTTGGGTTGACACAGGATACTGAAAAGCAGAAATCAATATTTGGGATCATCTTGATTCTTTACCTTTTGACTCTGCTGGGCAACTTTCTCATTGTGGTGACTATTAAGACAAGTCAGACCCTTGGGAGTCCTATGTACTTCTTCCTATTCTACCTGTCCTTTGCTGATGCCTGCTTTTCTACAACTACAGCACCCAGATTGATTGTGGATTCTATATCTCAGAAGAAGACTATTTCCTACAACGAGTGCATGACTCAGGTCTTTGCAGCCCATTTCTTTGGGTGCATGGAAATATTTGTGCTCATCCTCATGGCTTTTGATCGCTATGTGGCCATTTGTAAGCCACTGCGATACACAACCGTCATGAGCCAGCGTGTCTGTGGTGTGCTGGTGATTCTGGCCTGGGTGGGATCTTGTATTCATTCTTCAGCACAGATTCCTGCGGCTTTGAAATTGCCCTTCTGTGGCCCTAATGTGATTGATCACTATTGCTGTGATTTGCAGCCCTTATTGAAACTTGCCTGCATGGACACTTACGTGATAAATTTGCTACTTGTGACCAATAGTGGGGCCATATGCATGGTGAGTTTCATGCTCTTGCTTGTATCCTATGTTGTCATTTTATACTCTCTGAGAAACCACAGTGCAGAAGGAAGGCGAAAAGCTCTTTCTACCTGTACCTCCCATTTTATTGTGGTTGTCTTATTTTTTGGTCCATGTATATTCATGTACACACGCCCACCAACTACATTTCCAGTGGACAAGATGGTGGCTGTGTTTTATACAATTGGGACACCCTTGCTCAACCCTCTGATCTACACACTGAGGAATGCAGAAGTGAAAAATGCCATGAGAAAATCATGGTGTAGCCAATTATGACTTCAGCTGATACATAAAGTATGGTGAATTTAATTTACATTTCCTTAACATCTTAGTTTTTGTTACGTGGGCAGGAAAGATAAAATACTCCTAATAGGAAACAATCCTAACAGGAGACAATCAATACATATCAACATGTATACTGACTCATTATACACACATTTAATATTCTGAGAGGATTGCATTAGACTACGTGTGCTTAAAGCTCATAACCATTTTGAACAACCTATAATGATCCTTACTTGAATTCTATCAACATCTGACTATTTTCACTTGGTAATTTAACTTCTTGTAGGTATTTTTCTCCAGAAAGAAATGCACTGACTAATCATAGGATGATTGTGTGTTCACCAAATTCCTTTTATAGATCTTATTCTAGTACGCTATGAATTTGGTCAACAGAAGCCAATCTATAAGAGACTGGAAACTTGCAGAATCAAGGTTCTTGTTTTGCCAATATGAGCATTTGAGAGGCTGCTCCTAGAAGATGATACCCTGGAACTCTGTAGCTAAGCTGCCTCACTTGGCAATCCTGCACTACCACTTAAGTCTCTCTTTCTGCCTAGATTTTTCTGATCTCAGTTTCTGTGGCCACCAATGTGGAGGATCACATGCTAGTCTGTCAGAATAGAACTCTCTAGAAGTGTCCTTGCAGCATGCATGTACACATATGTGCAAATGCACACATGCACACATACATACACATACACACAGACATTTTAAGGTACTTGACTGGAACAATTAGTTACGACCCCTAGTTGATAGATAATTAAAAATTAAAGTAGAAGGTGATATCAGCTGAATGGCAGAGTAGGCAACTCCAAACACACATCCCTCC